GCTCCCCCGGCCCGGCCGGCTGTGGGCCATGTGCTGTTTGTAAGGCTTTCCTTGTCTAATAAGACAGAAACTCGAGTGTGTTAATATGTTCTTGCTTACTCGCCGAAGAGTGAGTTTTAAGTCATAAAGTAATTGAGTCATCAGATGTTGGTTGATAGGCTCCACAGATTGTTTGCCCGATTGGAAGTTATCCTTTACTAAAGCAGAGGGGATTTTTTACTCATTATCGAAATAATTTCGAACGTGACATGTACGTTGGTATTTCTAGTAGTCATGTCTGGATAGATGCTTAAAATTCTTTTCGATACCTTTGTTTTAAGTCCTGATGGTGTATTTGGTAGAGCTCAAGAATACCGTTATTTAGCGTTATTTTGTTTTATTTTGGCAGTTGTGCTAAAGAAAAAAGGAGGACATCTCGGTAAGACTACCCCAGAGAGGTGAGTTCTAATGTCTCTAAGAATCTGGGGACTACTACGAAGTTTTCTGTGGATCAGTAAATAAATACTAGAGTAAAAGAATGGTAGTTGAAAGATGTTTTGGTTGGTCAGGGTTCAAACGAATGTTTAATTAGCTTTCTGATGTGATTCCTTTAGGATGAAATTCTGAAATTGGAACGCCTTTGTGGAGTATTTTGGTAGGATTTGGGTTTTTCCTGTGCCCTACAAGGATACCTTTAAAAAATTATTCAAGGGGCTGGGGATTTAGCTCAGTGGTTCTGTTGCTTGCCTCGCAAGCGCCAGGTCCCGCTTTTGATCCCTGTTACCAAAATATAAAATAAAATAAAAAGTGAAAATTATCCAGGGATACCAAAGAAACTCCTTCCAGCCTTGGAATATGTAGATACAGAGTAGAAATTTTGTGAGGAAGGGTGGTTTAGGACACATTTTTTCAACCTTTCTGCCTTGTCTATAAAATGGCAATAATAGCTTTAACCTGACAAGGTAGGATTTTGTATTACATGAATTGTTGTATATGAAATGCTTAACCTGATGTCAAGTACTAAGAAGCACTCAAGTATTAAGTGGTGGTGTTATGCATGTGTTATTACCTGAGAGTCATTTCAGTTATTTTAAGTGATTATATTGTGTTTATATACAGAGAGCTATGGCAGAAGCGCCTAGATCTTGCCTCCTAAAAGTCATACCACTTTTTTCCAATTGTTTTTTTTCCTAGTTCTTCCCTTCAAGTATCAAATACTATAGTCACGCTCAGTTCTTCATTGTTGCCTGGACAGACTTCATGTTTTCTGTGTTTTGTTTTTCATACTGCCCAAGCTGTCTAGAATTGTTCAAGTGCTACCTTTTAAATAAAGCTTTTGAAAGCTTCATAGGTGTAAGTGCAGCTAATTGCTTCATACTTCCTTCAGCGGTTCCTACCACTTTCTGTATTCCATCTGAGTTTTTTACTAGTTTTTATGCCCTGCACTTTAAGAAATCTTTTCCAAACAATGCACTATATATACCTTGTTCACTTTTATAAGTGTAGAACCTCCTATCACAGGCTTTGGCACTTAGTAGTACTCATTTATGAAATCAAAGTTTGTAAAAGGTAAAGGCATCTAAGAGAGCATTTAATAGACAGATGTGTGGCAGTTAGAGTGTGCTTTGTTGGTGTTTTTACATCCAAGAATACTTTTTTTTTTTGGTACCAGGGATCAAACCTTGGACTTGGGAGGCAGGTGAGGTGCCTCTGAGTTAAATCCCAGCCCCAAGAACACTTCTGTTGGCTCGTTAAAATGAGAACACTTGAGGTTTTAGGAGTTGGATGGAGTTGAAGAGCAGGTAGGTGATAGAGCACTGGGGGCACTAGCCGTAGGTCAGGAGTTTTTGTTAGAATGTGTTCTTGTATTTTAATAGATATGTTCTTAACCACCAGAGGGATTGTTTTCTGATGTACTTGATTTTTCATAGATATTCTTTATTACTAGTGGTACAAACTTGAGATATGGTAAGGACTAAGATAGAATACTTGATCTTGGCCAAAAGGCTGAGAAGGACTAAGTGTTTCTTGCCATAAACAGAATATATAAGACACTTGGCTCAATATAGGACTCCGAATCTCACCCTGTATTTTTTAAATCATAGTATCAAAATGCCTCTTAGTATAAAACTAGGCCTGAGGGTAGGAATTGGGTGAGATACTACAGGAGGATATTGTTTTGATCCTTGGTTGCTATGATACCAGTCAGGCCTTGGCCTTAAGATTTAGAAGAAATGAGAATGATGGGAACTGCGGTTAAAACAGAGTCCCTGAACCCTGCAGGCCATGTGCTGGTACCAGTCTGGGTCTGTGACCCATTAGAAACTGGGCTGCACGAGCATCAGGCGGACAAGCAAGCCCTCCTGGGTTTTTACTGCTGCTCCCCACTGCTTGCTTTACAGCCTGAGCTCCGCCTCTTTGCAGATCAGCTGTGGTTTTAGATTCCTGTAGGAGTGGAAACCCTATTGCACATTTGAGAGATCTGGGTTGCACATTCCATTATAAGACTGCTATAATAATAGAATTCAAGTGCACGATATAATAGAAATACGGTAAACGGCACAGTAATTGTAATGTGCTTGAATCATCCCCAAACCGTACCAGGGGAAATACTGTTTTCCTCAACCCTGATTCTGGTGCTAAAAAAGGACGGGCACCACTGAGTTAAAATCCAGGTTCACAAGTAGGCATTCATAGAGCTAAAGAAGCAATTATGTACTCCTAGCGGAAAAATTCTCAGAATTTTTACAATAACTCAGCAGGTCTTTGGATTGAATAAGCAGCCTAATATGGAAGCACTAAATTTTAAAAACCAGATGTGTGTATTCTAATCATAACGCTTACTCACTGGCCGACCTGGAATTCATCATTGTGTGAATTTTTGCTTTCAGAGAATGAGTTTCACGGGGTTAAGGTATTTAACAAATTTAATATAAGTTTATAATGATCTTATATAATAATCCAGTCCAATTTCTGTTTTTACTTCTTATGTCCATCTGTCCCTATAAGGTTAACTGTTACTTAACTCTTAAAATATTCAGAGGGCCAGGGATTTAGCTCAGTGATGTTGCACCTGTGTCATAAGCTTAAGGTCCTGAGTTTGATTCCTGGTGTGCGGGAGGTGAAAATATTCAGACATTGACGTGAAGATTTTATCACTTAAGGAAGTTGTTGGTATTCTTTTTGCTTAGGATAAAATTCTGTCAGATTCTAGTGTTCTGCCTATCATACTGTTTCACGTACCAAGGGTTCTTTTTTCTTTTTTTGTGGTGCTGGGCTGGAAATCAGGGCCTTGCAGATCATAGGCAAGTGCTCTGCCACTGAACTACATCCCCAACCCCTATTTATCAAGGGTTCTGTTGTTATTTAGCTTTTTCAGATACCAGCTAAAAGCAAGATCACTGGTTCATGGTAGTGAAGCATCTGTTGTATATATTGTTTAGTATGTTTCAGTATATTCTCCTGTAATTGATTTTTTTTTAATCTAGTATGATACACAAAATTGTTTTCCTGACATCTCATGGATCTCAGCTTGCTTTTGGGGGGAAGCAGTGGATGAACTAAATAATTCTTTACATCTGTTTACTATTTTTGTGTTTACTAGGCACTTTGATAAAGTACTGTACTCTTAAGTGTGATACAAATTAAGTAGTACATGAACATGCCTCTGAATTGTTCCCACAGCTTTAGAATGGAAATTAAAGTAGTCATGAGGGAGGGCTTTGTGTTTTTTTGTTGGTTTGTTTTTCAGTTTTCGGCTTGTGTGTTTGCTAATACATATCGAGTCTGCCAGTCTAACATCTCATTGAGAGGTTTATATATATTTGTATTTAGGGTTACCTCAAATCCTGCAGCACCAAAAGAGAGAAAAAGAAAGTAAGGCTAGAATTCTGTTTATTTAAAAAAAAAAAAACACTTTCTTAGTTTTTATGTGCTTTGTAAAGCTATTTGTAGTGTTTATGTAATTCTCAGGGCTTAGATAATGGCCCCAGGGTGCAGCAATGGGGATTTTATGTGAAGAAGCTTATTAAAATGAAAAGCCATCTTCCTGTTTCTTGTGTATTGTGTGATACTGCCTTTAAGGTCTTAAAATTGCTCAGACTTTGGTGAACCAAAGCAAACTTCTGTTGTTTTCCTCCGGTGTTTGAAGTTCTACATTTTGTTAGTCATGAACAAGTGGTCTTTTCCCAGTAAATACCAATTTACGCCACAAAACTAGCTTTTCTGTGCTGTTGTGAACTTCCTGTTTTTGTCATATTTCCATTTAGGGAAAAGAGTGGATTTTAGACTAGGCTAGCTTTAATTTCATGCTTAAAGATTTTTCTGAAATTCACTTTGGAAACTGCCCAGATATCTAGAGAGAGGGGGAGGAAAATGACATGCCATGTCTCCACATAAAGTTATTTGTCAGAAAGCTTCATTTGGCTTTGTGTCAGGGTTGCCAGGAAGGAAGAGAAACTTTGTGCTGTCATAAATTTTAAGTCTAGGACTTGCCAGCATTGTTACTTGCCTTTAGGGTTCCCACATAAATGTGGTTGAGTTTGTGAATGAACTATATTCTAGCCTTTAAAGACAGGATCTATGTACACTTCTAGAAGATTTTTCTTAAGGAAATTTGTAACAACTGTATTTAGCCGCATTGCTTCATTTACAATAAAGACAGGCCGGAGTTCACATGTTAATTAGAATAGCAATTGACTAAGTCTGAATGTGGGCCATCCACTGCCTGAAAGTTGGGGTAAAGCCATTTTAAGAACCTTTTGAATCAAAATTGAGTAAACAGAACATTTAGTTACAAATAATGAACTGTCACATTTTATAGAGTGAATTCTTAATTATGTGTTAATGGAATGTGTAGGTAGAACATGCTTTCACGTAAACCCCAATCATACTAACACTGTTGCTGAGGGAACCTTTGAATAGCATTTTTTATACTGGTGGAACCAAGTTCTTTCGTAATTTATTTTTAACCAAAACGACCTTGGGCTAAATCCCAGGCCCTGTCTCTCCCTTTCTTGACACATGAGTCAAATAAGAAAGATGCTTTTAACCCCTAAACATAAACAATTACAAGTTTCTTCTTCATCAGTGCCTTGGTCTAGTCCACCTTTATGTTGGAAATGTCCTCCGTTTGCCGTATTTGGAGAGCTGATGTTGCATTTGAAACCATCTACTATAAATTTACCAGATACTTCTTTTTTTCCATCTATGTGTTATTTCTGAAACACATACAGTATTACTCATAAAATGAAAAAAAACTGTTCCTAAATACCCATCATCCTTTACTGATTTATCCTGTTTTGCTTTATATGAGAAGTATCATCACTTAAACCTTCAGTAATCTTTCTGCTGCCTCCCCTTTTTTTCCTGAGACTAGGGCTCAATCTGTAGTTCAGGCTGGACTTGAACCTGGGGCAATTTTCCTGCCTCAGGCTCCCAAGTGCTGAGATTACTGATGTGCACTCCCATACCCAGCCCTCTTTTCCTTGTCTAAATCATCAATTTAAACATTCCCAAATTATTCATTCTCAGATTTCAATGTGTTCATAAAAGTTACACCAAGTACTTGTTCAAAGGACAAATTCTTGGGCCCCACTCCGGACCTAGTAAGTTTAAATCTCTAGGGAATTCATATGCTGGTCTTTGAACCAGTTTCATTTTATTGCATACGTTCTCAATAACATGTAACTTCCAGTCTGTTATTTTGAGGGTCTTCTGTGTAGCACAGGCTGGCCTCGAACTCAACTTGAGCCTTGTTAGGATGGCAGGTATGCAGCACCATACCCACCTTATTCAGGTTGTATAATATTATTGGTATGTCAGACCTTTTTTCCTACTAATTATTGACATCCTTTTTTCCTATTGAGTTCACTCATTCAAGAGCTCATTCACCAGATGGCTGAGAAACTGTCCAAGATTTCATTCCATGTTTTATCAGAATTGATGTTCTTGCTTCTCAAAGCACACATCTAGTAGTTCAGTGTACTGTACATACGCAGTATATATGTATGCAGGCCCCCCACCACCATGGATCAAACTCAGGACCTTGTGCTTGCAAGGCAGTTGCGGTGCCACTGAGCTAAATCCCTGGCCCTGCATGTTTCTAATATACGTATGGCTCATAGACTTTGATAAGGATTATAAATTGGTGTCTGCTTTCGTTGCCAGTGCAGGAACTATGTTGTAACATTTTAAATAATCTTGGTAATATGACACATTGCAGGTATCCAAGTGTTTTCTTTAAATTTTTACTGCTGTCAGTTATTGCTGACTCAGACCTACCAAAGTTATGTTATCATCTGTATGCATTATATAAAACACATAATTTTTATGTAACATGTCCCTTATTCTCACTTACTTGTAGTTCCTTAGTGCTCTCTTTAAGAATACTCCCATACTACATTGGACTTTGAATCCTGTTGAGTTCTCCCTGAGAGGAGAAAAATAGTGCACATCACACATTTCAAAATAAACTCAACATGTATAAGTAAGGAACAACAGTCTCTATATAAATCATATTACACTGGCATTCTCTTTAGATGTTAATGTATGCACTGGAAGGATACATATGTAGTACAGTGGTTACATCTTGAATGGGTGGGGCAGCAAAGGAACCTCATATCACTTAGTTCAAGTTTATAGTACATAGTATAACAAGGGATAGAAACTCTGAAAATATTTTGGGTTATGCAAATATGGATGGCTGTCATCTTGGTGCTTTTTAACTTACCTTCATTGGGATAAATGTATTTTATAAGTATATATGACGGCTTCTGAAAGTATTCTGTAAGCTAAAGGGCAGGATTCATTATGGCAGACCCCCTGGCCAGGCTGCAGTACAGAGCAGGCATTTTACCCCCATAATTGGCTACAGTATACTCGGAGCCAGACTGAAGCCTACATACTCACAGGAGCATGTTGGATAGTGCACAGGCTAGAACAGTTTTCCCACCGATGGCTACCTCAGAGATCTGAGTCCTGATGTGTGAAGCTACAGGGCTCCTAAGTGAGATAACATTCCAGCTGAGGACCTTACCCTGTGGCTTCAAACCACATTCCATTCCTGGAGCTGCCCCTTTGTGGCTTACTAGTTAACCATGACCTACCTTTGGTCTGTTCTGCTCTGCTCAGCATTCTTATTTTGTTTTGTTTTGTTTTTTGTACCGGGGATGAAACTCGGGACCTTGCACTTGTGAGGCAGGTGGCGGCACAACTGAGCTAAATCCCTGGCCCAAAGCTAGGACCAGTTCTCCCCAGATGGGACACGAACCTTATCCCTCTTTAACAAGTCTTGTCTTTGTCAGCTGATATCACCAGATGCCATGCTATTCTTACCCATGCTGTGTAATCGGTAAATACAGAAGGTTCTGGTTGCTTGTGGTCCTCACCATGTGCTTGGTGTGGCCTATTCCAGTCCCCTGCTTTCTGTTGAAGCCTTGATTTCTTGTCTTTCTCCTTGCATCATGTTGCCACACAGTAGTAGATTAAGACTCTGCCGGGGTCTTTGTTAATTCATATTTTCTATTTTGTGTCCTTTCATTAGTTCTCATAGATAGTTAATGGTTCTCATGGGCAATTATGCTGAACAAAAAAATGTATAAATTTTTGAGTTAGAATTGAACCTCCTCCCCCAAAAAAGGAATGCCAAACCTTTACCCAAACTATAAAATAAGATGTTCTACTGTAAAGAATGGGTTTATCCAGTGGCCTTAGAACAGTGTGACAAAAAGGATCCCAGCTGGCATGTTAGTGTGCTCAGTGCTCAACTGAATTAAAAGGGCAATGCCATGCATTTCATTTCAGTATTTTCTATACAGTAAGCTATTTCTTTTTGTACCAGGGATCAAACTCAGGTCCTTGCACTTATGAGGCAGGCTGCGGAACCACTTAAGCCAAATCCCCGGCCCTGGGAAACTGATTAGGTTTCCACTGAATCTATAAATCACATTGAGGAAACTTGGCTCCTAAGCCTGAGTTATCTGATCACTTTTAGTTATATTCTCCCATTCAGTAATCATCAACATAGTTTTTAGGGGAGGGATTGGGGATTTATGTAGCTCACTGTTACCCACACCTGCCTCACAGGCATGAGGTCCTGAGTTTGATTCCCAGTACCAAGAGGGAAAATTAAAAAAACAGGTTTGGGGATATAACTTAGGGCAAGGTCCTGGGTTGTTCAGCCTTCAATGCCTGAATTTCCACTTACATTGCCATTTTTATTAGTACAAAGTCCTCATTTTATAAGTAAAGAAATTAGGTGATGTGTATGAGGTCACACAGTGACAAAGATAGATGAAACCTCTGTCATTTATAAACTAATAATGCCTTGGTTTTTTTGCTAGTTTTCTCAGCCCTTAAGTACTTTTAACAAAAAGAATCCTTTTCCAGGGCCGGGGATTTAGCTCAGCAGTTTGGTAGCCTACCTTGCAAGCGCAAGGACCCAAGTTCAATCCCTGGTACCAAAAAAAAAAGAAGAAGAAGAATCCTTTTCCATAAAATAGTTGGTGCCTTCATTTTATATAGTAGTACCTCAGTACTTGTCATCAGTTGGTTGCATTACAAAATGAATTGGTCTGGCTGGAAGGTGCTGCTAGTCACTAGGCAGTCAGTTGACACCAGGTAAGTTGGAGCTTGCTCAGTGATCACCAGCCAGATGAATACCTGGACAAGTGCATAGAGTAGCAGATTTGACAAGTTTCAAAGCAGTCAAATCACCAAGGTATCACTGTGTATTTTGAGCTTGTTTTCCAGATCTGTTTAGATGATAAAAATTGGTCCTCCTAATGTAAAAATGTTAAACCAGGTTTAATGATACATTGCCTGTAATCCCAGCACTCCAGGAGACTGAGGCAGGAGGATTGCCAGGAGTATGCAGTCACCCTGGGATACACAGTGAGTTCAAGGCTAGCATGAACAACCCTAGTGAGAACTTATCCCAAGAACCCCCAAAATAAAAATAATAGATGAGTACATTTCTGAACCAGTATTCTTAAAATCATACACTTGGCGGAGGTGTGTGTTTTGAGACAGGGTCTCACTATTTAGTTGAGACTGACCTGGAACTCACTGTGTAGCCCAGGCTGGTCTTGAACTCACAGTGGTCCTCCTGCCTCAGCCTCCCGAGTGCTGGGATTACAGGCATGTGCCACCACTCCCGGCCTTAAAATAGTTTACTTTATCTTATAGTTAATATGAATTATAATAGAAACATGCAAATTAAAGTCAGTGTTTATAAGCAACCACAGTCTTACTCATTTCACATTCTGGAATTTGTTCAAAAGAAGAGTTTGACATCTTTTAAGTTGGAAACATGTAAAGGGCTTTTGGTGGGGAGAAACATGACAACCATTTAGAGAGCTTTGACAGGTTGGCGAGAGTCCATAGGAAAAACCCACATTAAGAAATAACCCACTAAGAAATAGTCTAGGCCTATAGGGTAAGTGGATGTAATAGAGTACTGAAGAAAAGTAAAATGTAGCTCAGGTCTGGATTGTATTTCCAAAGATAAGAAATTTAATAGTTAGACAAACCAGGCCATACATGCAGTCGTAGTAACTCTGGGAGGCTGAGGCAGGAGGATCACAAATTTGATCCCAGTTTAAGCAGCTTAACAAGACCCTCACTAAAACAAAAAAAAAACAGCTGGGGATATAGCTCCATACAAAGGCTCTGGATTCAGTGCCCAGGATTGAGAGAGGAAGAGGGGAAAAAAAAAAACTGGGCTGGGGATTTAGCTCAGTGGTGCTGCTTCCTGCCTCACAAGCACAAGGTCCAGAGTTCACTCCCTGGTACCAAAAAAATGGGGAAGAAAAATACATTAAAAAAATAGGCCGGGCGTGGTGGCGCACACCTGTAATCCCAGCACTAGGAGGCTGAGGCAGGAGGATTACTGAGTTCGAGACCACCTGGGCTATATAGTGAGTTCCAGTTCAGTCTCAACTACATAGTGAGACCTGTTCTCCAAAGAAAAGAAAGAAAAATGTTATTAAGAGTTACTGTACATGAGCATTTTCATTTGAGGGTTGCTTGTCAGCATAAAATGACATGTATAATCTTAATTTGCTGCTTATATGAAGATTCTAATGTTTCAGTTAAAGATTGATGACCTGTGACTTTATTTTTAAGGTGTACTTGTGATAGAAATACAAGCAAATGGATGACAGTCTAATCAGATAAGTGCTTTTGTACTCCAGAATTCATTTTGTTATGTAGAACAGCCAAAGGAAAACTTTGTTCTTTAAAACTTTTTTTTTTTTTCTTTTTAGGTACCAGGATCAAGATGACTTATATAGCAATAAAGTACTTTTTTTTTTGGTACCAGGAATCAAACTCAGAACCTTACACTTGCGAGGCAGGTGGCGGAACCACTGAGGTAAATAAATCCCCAAGTCTAGGTACTGTTAATCTTACAGTAAATTTTATATTCATGTCACAGTATAACAGTTTATCTGAAGCTAGATTAATCTTGCATACCCATTAATCTTCAGTATATATGCAAATCTTTTTTCTAATATCTGTATGGAGCTAGTTATTACTGCTTAGCTTTATATTTATCAGGTATTATGGCATCTGCAATAGCTATAATTGGCTTAGTTGCTCAAAATTAGGTTTTATTATTTTTTTATTTTGATACTAGGGATCAAACTCAGGAGGTTTATGCTTGCAAGGCAGGCGGTGGAACCACTGAGCTAAATCCTCAGCCCACAATTACGTTTAGAACCAGGCTTTCGTGTTGAGACAGGGTCTCACTACATTATGTAGTCCATCCTGTCACTGAACTATCACTATGTGAAACCCATAGCAGTTCCTCTTCCTCAGCCTCCAGAGTGTTAGGATTTCAGGTGCACCCGTCATGTCTGGCTTCAATCTTTTTTTTTTTTTTTTAATTTATTTATGGTACCAGAGATCGAACCTGGGTCCCCAGCCCTTCAGTCTTATTTTAAATAAGAGGGTTAGAGACAGGAACTTAAGAATAGTCACAACAACAGCACAGTTACACATGATTCATGTGCTAGTCAAACTTTAGAACTTTAATATATGATTGACCATAGACTAGCTTAGACATAGTGATCTCTGAAAATAAAAAATAAACATTTAGTATCGTTTAGATAATTTCCCAAAGCCAACTTTTTTGATCTTTGTTATGTATCAGTTATAAAAAGCTTTTCACTGTGTTGTTATATACTGGTTTACAGTTGTATCCTAGTTAGCTATTCAAATATAATGATTTGCCATTTTAACTACACAGATGCTCAAAGTCCAGTAATACTCTGCAGCTCAACTCAGTAACCAATACCTTCTTATGAGAAGGTAGCAGCTGAATGGAGTAATATAGGCATAAACCCAATAATGTATGTGTACTTGGCCAGAGTTCACATCATCTATTTCTGCTGTGAGTATTGCTGTGCAGGTTATGACACCTGTTCTTTTAGGCCTTAGTCATGTAGGAACAGTTTTCACTACATAGCACTTTCACAGACACGTTTGTGCATGTGGGGCACAAACTTAGGGCTTTACACAGGCTAAGCAAGCGAGCACTCCTACCACTGAACTGTACCCCCAGCCCATTAGTTTGGACCTAAAGGCTATTTAAATTTATTTTTTTGTATTTTTTATTTTATAGATCAAAACATGTTTAAGCGACACAATAGAAACTATCGATCCTTGAAACTACTCCTCACAATAATAAAGGAAAAGAGAAAAAAACAGACTCTTTATTAGCCTTTCCTTTCCCTGGGTAAAATTACCCAATAGAGGCAACTTAAAGAGAGGTGTATTTTGGCTCAGTTTCAGTGGGTTTGGTCTGTGGCTGGCTGACACCCCTGCAAAGATGGCCTGGCAGAGGGCCAGGTAGAAGACAGCTGTTCTTACCATGATGGGCAGGAAGCAGAGAAGAAGAGCCAGAGACAAGAATATACCTCTTATTTCCCCAGTGACCCTCCTGTTCTGACCAGGCCTCACCTTCCAATGGCAGTGAGCTATACTCCAATGTCAAGTTTTGTGGTGAGTACACTGCCCAAGGATCCAGTTACATTCCACGGTCCTCACCTGTAACTGAAACTTGTGAAATTGAGAACAACTTTTTGCTTGCACATTAAAGGCTGATTGTCTGACTAGTCACCATTTAACAAATTCTGAAAGTGGGCAACAGTTTCAGTTATTTCATAAGTAAAATTAGTTGGGATGTATCTGTTCAAGGCGTTAAGTCTGTAATATTATGTCCCCAGTTATCCCCAGTTCTGTCAAACACATATCAACCAAACTTCACTTGTTACAGGACAAAACTTTAATGAAAATCGGGCAGTGGATATGTATAATCCAGGGGCTAAGTAGTTACAAGGGACTGTAGAAATGTAAAGCAGACTAGATGCTGGAGTAAATGTTACATATTATCATCATCTGATTCATCATCTTCCTTCAGTGATTCCTGTTAGGAGAAAAGGTTTTAAATTAATTTACAGCCACCTGAATTTATTAAGTGCTGCTCATTAGCAATACTTTTATTTACAACTAGAAAATGAACAATGCCTTACAATATCCAAGTAAAGGATAATAAAGTATCTGTAGTAACCAGTTGGTATATCCTTAACAGATACAGTCAGATATACACAAATGATACACAAATGAAAAACTTGAAACTTTCACCAAATCATGTATTTGTTCAAGTCAGGGCAACTTTATCCCTAACTACAATTCTTATTTAGTAAAAGTCAACCAAATTTCCTTTTTACTGAATTCACCAAATCCCCCATTTATAAACATTCAAGTCGTAAACTGTCACAGGTGTCCTGTGTAACTTTTGTGATTTTGGCTAGAGTTCTTATGCTGTGGCTTACCTTAGCATATTTCTCTGCTTCTTCCCTTATATCTTTTGGAACAATTTCATGTCTTCCTTTTGTTACTATAATTTAAGACATATTTAAGTGAATTAAAAACAAGGATTACTATAATTTAAGACATATTTAAGTGAATTAAAAACAAGGACTATGAGGCCGGGGATCTAGCTCAGTGGTTCTGCCACTTGCCTCGCAAGCACAAGGACCGGAGTTCGATCCCCGGTACCGAAAAAAAAACAAAAAAAGGGAGACTATGATCTATAGTACCATACAATCTACCTAATCTACAGTTAGGATTTGTCTAAGGTTGTAAACACACTATGAGTAATATAACTAGATGCCTTCTGTGTGAGATGAAAGGTGCCAAAGGTAACCTCTTTTAGAGATGAAGAGTAAATTATGATTTATAAATCTTGAGCATTAATTTCACAGTATTGATTAGATTTTAGAAATAATAGTTAACCATGCTAAAAAGAAAACATGATTTCTCAGCTGTTTTTTAAAACCATGTAATGAGGGCTGGGGGTATAGCTCAATGCACTGTGTCTGGTGCACAAGTAAGTGCAAGGTCCTGAGTTTGATTCCTGGTACCAAAAAAAACCCTCATAATGGTTGTTACAGGAGGTAATTCAAGAAATAAGTTGTTTATAATTTCAGTTACTTATTAAGCAGTGCTTCATCCTCACTGGATTACCTGGTATTCCACTTTGGTTTTGTTTTAAAAGGGAATCAGTAGTAAACTAAGAGCAGCACAGATGAGTCCTAGAGCAGATGAACATACAAAATAACTTACATTCACCAACCCAGCTGAGCTCTAGTTCAAAAGCTTTATCTTTAACTTCATCATGTACTATGTAAATTCTAGAACAGAAAAGGACAAATTATTTGGTCACCTCCAAACTCATACGTCAGTATTAAGAATTTTCATCCTTAATATAAGTTGCAGTTAACATACACATTCAAGTCTATTTATTATAAACAAAAAAAAGACAATGAAATACAAAAGAGTATGTGTGCTCCCTAGAAATACTATTTTGTAGAACTCAAGTTGTTTATTTTGATGTATTATTTAAAAAGCTAAGACATCTGGGAAGGAACATAGATTGAAATGGGAAAAAGATACTATAAAATGTGCCTTTTCAGGATTTTATTTTCCTCTTAACAAATACTTTAAAAACCAATTAAATGGGCTGGAGATTTAGCTGTGGTTCTACTGCCTGCCTCCAAAGCACAAGGTCCGGAGTTTGATCCCTGGTGGCAGGGTTGATAGTGCACATCTGTACTCCCAGCACCCAAACCTGAGTCCAATGACCCTTGCCGCAAGTCTGAAGCCTGCTTTGACTATAGTTTTTTGCATTTTGTCTCAACTGAAGAATTAAGATTGGTCGGGATTTAGATCAGTGGTTCCAGTGCCGGCCTCGCTAGCGCAAGGTCCTGAGTTCAATCCCCAGTACCAAAAATAATAATAATAATAATGATAATAAAGATTACTTTAAAAGTGAACTAATTGGGCTGGGGGCTCGGTGGTTCCGCTGCCTGCCTCACAAGCACAGGGTCCTGAGTACTATCTGATTTTGGTACTCTAGTTTTCTATTTTATAACTATATGCCACCTAACTTGGCTTTCCATATTGTAGTACATTATAAATTGAAACAAGGCAGCACTGGTAAGTAAAACAAAAAAACTATCAGTTAAGTGTTAAAAGTTTTACCACTACCTTGCACACCTTACTTTTGGAGGATCTTCTGCTGTTTTGAGAGAGTCTTGCTATGTAGTTCAGGCTGGCCTTCTTGAACTCAAGGTGATCCTCCTGCCTCACCCTCAAGTGGTGGGATTAAGGCGTACGTCACCACACTTGCCACTGCAGCATCTGCTAAAGCCTTGCTGGAAAGTGTCTTAAATAAATGATGGCTAAGACCTACACAGGTCAACCATCATACCTAAATAAAAAAAGGGGGCAAGGGCTGACTCCGAAACTTCAAAATCCTGGTTCTAAAAGAATCTTATTTAGTTTATTATGTTAAACTGTGGTATAATTCAGGGGTACTTTTTTGTTTTTTGGTACTGGGGATCAAACTCGGGACCCTGTGCTTGCAAGGCAGGTGGTGGCACCACTGAGTTAAATCCCTGGCCCTCAATGATACTTAAGCAGTCCTAATGTTACTTCTTACTGATCGCATAGTTATTTCTATTAAAGTTTTGACCTTTTGTTTCTTCTTGGTAAATGAGACTCATTTTGTCTATCTATGTCTTATACTCTGAGTAACATGCTGGCTGTTCTTTAAAATGATGATACAGGTCACACATGGTGGCACACCCATGTAATTCTAGCACTCAGGAAGCTGAGGCAGCAGAACTATGGTGTAGAATTCAGGTACTGTGAAAGCTCTGGACTGTGATAACTTGTTTTGTTTTTGTTTTTTTGAGACAGGGTCTCACTATGTAGTGAGACTGACCTAGAACTCACTATGTCTGTAGCTCAGGCTGGTCTCGAACTCACAGCGATCCTCCTGTCTCAGCCTCCCAAGTGCTGGGATTATAGGTGTGCACCACCACACCCAGCCTGTGATAACTTTTAAAATACAAAATGCCACTCCATTTTTTGATCTAGAATTATTATTTTGGTAAAATTACCCAAGTTTACTGACTTTTGCTGTTACTAGTTTTAAAACGTTACTTTTGGGGGGGTAGAACTCAGGTCCTTGCAGGCAGCCTTAACTTATATACCTGAAATAGAAATTACTTTGGTTTTCTTAGCCTTTGTTTTATGTTGGCTTGTTAAGATTTGGGTTTTGGTTTGGGGTTTTGTTTTGGTACTGGAGATGGAACTCAGGCCTTGTGCTTGTAAGGCAGTCGGGGGGCACCACTGAGCTAAATCCCCAGCCCTGGTTTGGTTTTTTGAGATAGGGTCTTGCTGTATAGTCCAGGCAAATTCTGAACTCATGATCTGCCTGTTTCCACCTCTTGAATGCTGAGATTATAAGAGTGTACCACTGTGCCCAGTTTAGAAGCTGCTTTTAAGTTTTGAAATACTACTCTTCTTGTTAAAAGAGAGCTTTCATGATAAACTTGGAAAGTAAGTCTTTCCCGAAGAAACACATTATACAAATGAGGCAACTTCAAGGACTTTGTAGAAATAATGAGCTCTAAACCACAACAAATGCAAAGATAAAGTTTGTAGGCTTTTTTTGGGGGGAGGGCAGTCTCATTATGTAGTTCACACTGGTCTTGAACTCACTATGTATCCTAGGCTGGCTGCAAATTCAGTGATCCTCCTGCCTCAGCCTCCTGAGTGCTGGGATTACAAGCGTGTAAAGTTTCTTGAAGGCAATCTAATATTAACTATTACTGGAACTTTTGGAACTCCTAACAATCCACTGTAACCTGATACTCTTCCAACTCCAATTAATTTCTCCAAATCTAAATTTTCCCATCCCATTTATTGTGACTAAAAAATATAACCAACTGAATTAGTGATAACTGCTGCTGGAGGTAGAGCACGTTGAGCATGCCCAGGGCCTAGTTCAGTCCCCACCACCAAAACAACAGAAACACATTCTCCTTAATGATTCATCTTCTAAAAATAGAACAAAACAATGCTTACAATTTATATTGAAAGTTTAAGTGTGGTATGGATGATAAGCAAGTTTTAACTTACATTTTTGCAACTTCTTTAACAACATCACGACAGGTCATTTCTTTCATCTATAAAAAGTAATGTTGAGTCGAAATTTCATGAGTTACCATTTGAATAACTTAACAACTAGTTATTAATAACCCAAGCTCCTAAGGCAGTCTTAGATCTAAAACCAAGGAAAAACAACACAAAATCCAAAAAGTACCAGAACCTAAGTGTTCTAACTCATAGTTGTGGGTTTTTGTTTTTTTGTTGTTGTTGCTGGTACCAGGGATTAAACTCAGGACCTGTGCTGCAAGGCAGGCAGTGGAACCACTGAGTTAAATTCCCAGCCCTCTGATTCATAGTTTAACACTTTTAAATTAAAATGTCAAAACAGATACTCTCAATAATCCTTGTATCACTAATTTTGCATTAAAAATTTTAAAGATCCATGGGCCAGGGATTTTGCTCATTGGTTCCGCCGTCTGCCTCACAAGTACAAAGGACCCGAGTTCAATCCCCAGTACCAAAAACAAAACAAAAAAAACCCATTTTTTTTTTTTTTTAAAGATCCAAAGCCCTCTGTTATTCATAGGCGGGCCCCAATTAGGAAAATTGGTGAAGAAATCTGACTGTCTTGGTACATGTGTCGGGGTAGACAGGGATGTTACTGGGGATTAAACCCAGGGCCTTCACAGACAACTACATCCCCAGCACTTTCTTATTTTGAGGCAGAATTTTGCTAAGTTACCCAGGCTGGGCCTGTGATCAGGATGTACTTTTTTCCAATAGCCATTTTTTTGTTTTGCTTTGGTTTTGGTTTGAGACATGGTCTGTGTGTGTAGTTCAGGCTGGCCTCATGTTGAGGGTGACAAGTGCTGGGCTTATAAATGTGCACCACCATGCCCAACATTTATGTCCCAGTGAGGACAGGATCTCACTATGCAGTTTAGGCTGGCCTCAAACTCACAATGATCCTTCTGCCTCAGCCTTCCAAGTGCTGGGATTACAGGTGTACCACCATGCCCAGTTAAGCTTTTATTGTGAAGTCTTGATGCGCAAATCCGTCTCCAGAAGAACAATAACAGAAGTTAAAGCATTGAATTTAAGAATACTAATCCAAGGAAATAAATACTGAAGGTAGCTGATGTGGACTTTTAAAATAATGGGAAGGGTAGTGGGTAAATTAAAAGATCTGAGAAGCTTTTGTAAATGAGGGAAAGGGAGGTGAAGGGAGGGGAGAAAGATGAATCAGGATATATCATGTATACGTGTAAATTCCTTATGATGAAAGTAATTGTACCGGGCTGGGGATTTAGCTCAGTGTCAGTGGCGCTGAAAGATGAATCAGGATATATCATGTATACGTGTAAATTCCTTATGATGAAAGTAATTGTACCGGGCTGGGGATTTAGCTCAGTGGTTCAGTGGCCTGCCTTGCAAGCACAAGGACCAGAGTTCAATCCCCAGTACCAAAAAAACAAAAGAAAACAAAAACGTAATTGTACCAATAAACTGAATTTTTAAAAATCCTTGACGATATTAGAAAAATGACAAAAGAGTGCTAGATTGAGGCTGGTGGTGAATACTGAAGCAGTGTCATGTCTGCAACTTGTTTCAAAAAGCTCAGAGGGAAAATATGGCAAAGTAACAGTCTAGAGGGTATCATAATCTTACATCTTCTCATATGTACAGTTTTCATATTAGAATTGAAGGGAACAAAAAAATTTTTGCCCTTACTAGTCGGGGTTTACATTTAGTGAATTAACTGCATTGTACAAAGATATTAGGCAAGCTTGAAAACACTATCTTTGCAGGCAGACCGCCACAAGTTGAAGTCAGCCTGGGCTACACAGTTCAAGACCAGCTTGAACTACATCACAAGACCCTGTCTCAAAAAAACAAAGTCTAAAACCCCTAACTCTGGTTAGTTTTATTTGACTTTAGGCAAATTTCTGGTAAGCAAAGACTTTGTTACTGCTAAAGGAAAGCTGGGCTTTTAAGCAAATTAAGAGCTGAATTTCTAGGGCCAGGGATTTAGCTCAGTGGTTCCACTGCCTGCCTTGCAAATGCAAGGACCTGAGTTCAATCCTTGGTACCGCCCCATCAAAAAAAGCTGAATTTCTTGCTTTTGGGGAACAATGGGTAGTTCTAACAGGACAAGCTTCATGCTTTGTCTACTAGGAACAAAGTAAATACTCAAGCATAGGTAGACATGTAATGTAAAGCTCAGAGGACATAAAATCTGTCCCAAAGAAATGACATGGGAAAAACACTTTTTATTGCAGTTGATTCTCTAACATGAATGCAGAATTTTAAAGTTGGGGAGCCTTGAATGGACTTAGTTGTTTTGTACTTTTCTGCACTGAAGATCTTTAACAGCCATCAGTTTTTTTACTTGGCCACTTACCAGCTTCAGAAAACTGCTCAAAAAGCTACACTACATCCTTATATGAAGTTGTTTAGTCTGTGGTGCTAAATCTACATTTGTAGAAAACTCAAGCATTAAATATATCTTACCTGAAGCTTTTCTATTTCTGTCTTTGCAGCTTGCCTGGCTTTGCCAATAGCACAGCCCCAATAACCCTATTAAAAAGGATAAAAAAACCACATAATCATTCAGTTAATATTTATCCAATATCATTTAATGATCAATTTCTATATAAAAGTTAATGATAAGGTGTTAAATGACTCAAAATCAAGTATGGCAAATATATTCAGACACCTCTCATGTATGTATAGGAGCTCAAAAAAGTTGAAATACAAGCTTCATTCTAGAAGAACCTTTATCCCCCCACACCTTCAGTGGTCCTGGGGTTCAAACTCCAGGCTTTGCACATACATGTTTCTAAGATATACTGTTTTAAAGACACAGCTGATACTCACAGTAGTTAAAAATCACATTCAAAATATATTTACTATGTAGTATGTATAAATAATATTGAGAGCCATAAATTTTTCCTCAGTCACATTCATAGGTGATTTTAATAAAACGTGGCCCGGGGATGTGGCTCAAGTGGCACTGCACCTGCCTGCCAATTGCAAGGTCCTGAATTCCATCCCCAGTACCCAAAACAAAGAAAAACTAAACAAGAAAACATTCTTCAAATCAGGGTTTTTGTACGGGGATCCAACTCTGGTGCTTGCACTTGCAAGGCAGGCAGCAGAACCACTGAGCTAAACCCCTGGCCTCTAATTAGTTTAAGTTACATATAATTAAAATGAGAGAAATGTTAATAAGATACTATTAAAATACAGAAGAATTTAGGATAATCCAAAACCACTTACATATGAAACACCTGATGGGTCGATCATGTACAGCTGTGCTCCATCATTCCCACTGTAAGACCCAAGCATGAAACTGCAGAAAAGGGAGGAGTTTAAAACACACTTTTCTTAGGGATAGGGATGTAGCCCAGTGGCACCACACCTGCCTGGCAAGTGCAAAGTCCCGAGTTCAATCCCCGGTACCACACACACAAAAAGTGATAAGAAGCAATTACAGTTTCTAAGATAAACTATGTATCATATATAATATGTATGTTTCAAGTAAAAGTCCATAGTAAATACCATCAAAATTTATGTGGTCATTTTTGTTTAGAATTAAACTTCCTGATGAAATTATCCTTGGGAGGCAGCAGTGTGGAGTAAGGATAAGCAGAAAACACCACTGATGAGAAAACCTAAGTAAAGGCATGAACAAAATCAAGGGAAACTGAACCCTTGGCAGCCTTTTTCTGTTCTCCAGTATTCCTCCAATCATTTTTCTGCAGTAAAAAATGTTTTACTATGTTTTCAATGCTCAAATTAAAATCAAGATATAAAATGATCATTAGATCATAGGAACGGATTTTCTGAAATTGTGATGTGTTTGCTTTAGAGAAATCAGCATGATCTTACATGTAATTTCACACGTGGGAAATATTTTAACAGATAATTACCCTCTCCTCACCATTTCCACTGCTCCTTTCCTTTTTCCAGAATGCTATGAGACATGCCTTTCAGATTATGTAACTGACTGTCCATCACTTTGAAACCTTTCAACTTTTTTTTGTTTGTTTTAGACAAGATAGCCCTACGTAGTTCAGGCTGGATAGAGCTTGTGGTGATCTTCCTGCCTCAACCTGAGTGCTGGGATTTAAACCCTTCACCATTGCCTTCAATGAAACTCTTTACCATGCAGTGTACTTGTGTATTTTCTGGCTTCTTCCTATGTGAACTAGCAATTCTAACCCTTGATCTCTGCAGAGCAATATACTTGCCTAAATTTGCATATTTGAATGCTGTGTGGTTCTCCTCCATCTCTCTGCTGGAAATATTCTTCATCCATTCTGCCTACACCTCACAACACTTCACTGCCACCTCTCAAGGGAAAGATCATTTCTGAGTCTGTTGCACCAGGATACTCAGGACATAGTGCTGTCTATCACCTCTAAGGTTTTCTTCATCTACATAATCACATCTATGACTGACTCATGTTCTTACTGCCTGAAAAATAGAAAATTAACTGGTATCCACACAGCTTAGTTGAAAAGTGAAAGGTATTTTACATAGTCAAAGAAGAGTTTTTCAGAGTAACTGCAATAACTAATAATCAGGTCCACCCTTGTGCCAGCACAATAAAATTCAGGTTTTTAAAAATATATGTCTATCAGTAATTTTAATATAGTTCACTATAAAATCAAAGGTAGGACTAGAGCTAAGCACTGAGATACTGAACAGTGCTTTGTTTTGACCAAGCATGATGGACTGACTAGTTCAAGAGTTCTCAGGAAAATCTAGGCATGACACAGCTCCTTGCAGAAGCTGTATTTAGAAATCCCTTTCCAGGTCTTGATGTAGTTGAACCCCACTTTACCCCAAAAGTGAGAATACTAGCACCTCACCTTACCAATAGATTTTCTTCCTGTGAAGAAAATCAATTAATCTTGTATGGCTTCATTACTAATGAATTCCATTTAAAAGCATTTTACCTGAGTGCTTAAAAGTACTGTGAAATTAATACTGAAGTAGAATTAGCTACTACCTAACATCCACATGTGCTATTGTCAGCTTAGTTTCCTGAGATGATCGAGGAATTAATGCCAGAGAATTAACTGCCATCAGATTAAAAAGTCAGTTTGTTGTTTTACGTCACTTTGAATTTGTACCGTTCCTTTCACTATTCAAATGGTTCTTATGTACACTCTTAATATCTGCCCTATATTTCTTAGACTTTCTTTTTAAGTATATGGAAAGGGCTAATATGCTGAGGAAGGATAGACACCTAAAGTGCAGCTTTGACTTTTGAGCATCACACACAGTGTTCCTACCTGCAGCCAAATGGTCTCACAGCACTGTAGAGTGTGTAAGCATGTACATACATCGCCACTCTGTCTGCAAGATGCTATGAGGAAGAAGAAGAGCTTATCAATCTATTTCTGCAACAGTACTGCTGAAGTTCTTCAATATGTTATCAACTTACTTTGAGTGGAATGTTGTAGCCAAAGTTAGATCTGAAGTTGGAAGCTTCTTCCCTTGCTATGTCTGCTAGAGAACGAGCATCTGCCAGCAAACCTGCTACTGCCTAAAAAAAAAGTACCAATTTAATAAGCACATTCCTGTTGCAGAACAAAAGTACACAAATATGACTGTCTCATCTCAGTCATATTAAGAAGTCTCCCCAGTCACCACTCAATCTAAGAAGATTGATTTAAATAGTTTTATATTCAAAAAATTATTAAGTTTTGGTCTAAAATGCACAAATACAGGTGATTTTTGGCCTGTTAACTAATAAACCACAGTGCATCAGGGAGATTATAGGTAGTGGGGATATTCTAAATTTGGAAGAAAAGAAGTCAGTTTCACATTCAGTTATTTTACTACATTCCTTTCAGTGCCATCAAACCTCTGAGAAGCTGTGGTGTATTTCTGTAATCACACTCTCAGGTGGCTGAGGAAGGAGAATCGAGTTTCAGACTAGCCTGGACAATATAGTGACATACGCAATAAAATTTAAAAATTAAGAAACTAATAAAGTTGTACTATGCAAAATCTATATGGAAGGCCAGGGATTTGGCTCAATAGTTCCACTGCTTGCCTCAAGTGCAAAAGTCTAAGTTTGATCCCCAGTACAGAGTGTGGGGGGGGGAATCTATACACAATGCCAGGCATGGTGGTGCATGCTTATAATCTCAGCATTCAGGAGGCTGAGTCAGGACTGCATTCAGTTCAAGGCCAACCTGAATTACACAGTGAGACCTTGTCTCAAAAAACAAAAAAACCCCAATATGGAAAAGTGACTACGGGTGGCAGCACCTGACCTGATTCCAAAGTGTAGAAAGTTATGCAATGAACATATCAGCAAACACAACTTTTATAATCTTTTAAAATATATTCTTTTCACTGTATTTTTTTTTCCTAAACAGCTACTGTTCCTAAAACGTAAAGATTAAGTCATTTGGACCTAATTATAAAACATTAGACATAAGGCATTTTTAAGCTACAGAAGCCACAAACAGAAAACTGCTAGATTACATTTACAGAATTTAAAAGTGGTATAGGATCTTTAAATACCTTTTCCCCTAGTGGCAGAATTCCTCACACACACTGAGCACTCACTGAATGTGAAGCGTTTTACATAATTAATCTGAACTTCACAACTGTATAAAGTAAGCACCACTAGACTGAAGTGTAATAATTCTCCAATCGCTTTGAAGATGAGAACTGTGGAGAGGACAGTAAGCCTTAATTTTCTCTAACCCTTTGAGTTCAATGTTTAATCAATTTCCAAGTATAAAGAAAGAATATTGTAGATTTCCTGGCTTTAAATTTACCTCCAGACAAGCTAGGTTACAGTCTGGCAAGTTTCATCAAAACCTATCGGTTTCAGTCGGGGGGGATGTAGCTCAGTGGCACCGTGCCTGCCTTGCAAGTGCAGGGTCATGAGTTCAATCCCCAGTACCCGCCCCCCCAAAAAAACCAGTTTCACTGGCAATAATAAATCTTGTCAGGAGAGACTCTGTTCAGAAAATATAATCACTTATATTTCACCGATTCTTTTTGTGTTTATGTAAACTGCATCTCATTTAAAAGCTGCAAATCTTTCAGCAAATGAAGTAGGTCCTACAAGGTGAGGCTACAGAATGGGATCTGAATAGGAAATCCAGGCTTGAACCCCCTCCCCAGCTGTGCATCTGTCTGCGGTAAAAATGGGGTTAACCTTGGCGGTTGGGATGAAATAATATATGTGGAGTTCACAGCACGGTACTAGCACAGGGTTCTCTTTTCTTCCTTGACTTTCCACGTAGAATTAGAAACCCGTTTCCTTACGGTAGTTCTTCCTGAAGGAAGTCTGCCATCTACACAGGGTGACTTCAGTACTGTATGTACCAGCGGTGTATTGATGGCTCGGTGTGTGCCTGCGTGGAGCAGTTGTTCAGATAGCTCAGACACACATTCCTGGTGCTCTACCTTAATGTACATGTTTTCGGAGTATAACATCTTTGCTTTCACAGTGATCCCCACAAAAGATTCAAAAACCTAGATTCTCTGGACTCTTAAGCACTTATCACCTCCACAGATGATCCATGTAGTTATGATCTCATTTTCTATATACTCCCCATTCCTCAGCCTCTCCTTTTGTTTTTTTGAGACAGAGTATTTTCACATGTAGTTCAGGCCAGCCAAAAACTGTTCAGCCTAGGCTGGCCTCAAACTCACGTGATCCTCCTACCTTAGCCTCCTGCATGCTAGGATTACAAGTATGCGCTACCATTCCTGGCCTCCCCATTCCTGGTTACCTTTCCTTAAGGTAACCTGATTTTCCACATCTGTCATCAATCAGGTTATGAGCCAATTAACCTTTCTTAAACCTAGTAACTCATTCATTCTGATTGTCTTTCTAGTTGCTCAATGATACAGTGCCTCAACATTAATGTAATAAATGAGTTCTTAAAATCACATTTTACTGTATTACAGTTACTTCAGAAATTGGACAAAAAGAAATATTTTAAAATGTGATCTTACCATTCCAACATGCCGGTCAACGTTAAAAAGTCGTTTATTGGAACCTTCTTCATAAAGTTTAGAAAGAACTAATTTTTCTACCCCAAAGACAACACCATCTTTACATCTGATCCCAATAGCTGTACTGAAACAAAGAGAAAGTTGTTTTTTTAACTAAAAATAGAAGAAAGTTCCTAATAAAACAAATCATAAAATGGGTAACATTTAAAGCATGTCAACTAAATTAAGACATTTAAAAACTAGATCTAAAAAAAATTTTTAAAGATCTAAAAAAAATTTTTAAAGTAAATTAGATCTATGTAAAAAATTTTTAACATTTCTCAAAAGTCTATCACATTAAAAAAAAAAATCTATCATATCAACTGACCAAAAACATCTTAACAGTGCTAAGCTACAAAATATGGCAGTGTCTGTCAAGTTAGTCATGTTATAAAGATATCCATTAGAAGATACAAGAGATAACAGGAAAAAGAAGATGGATCTGTGGTAAAAGGCAAGGGGGACCAAGAGTTGGAGGTGGGGTAGCAAAGGAAGGGGGCAAAAGAATGAAAATGTATTATGTGCACGTACCAACTCCACAAAAGGAATGTAACCATTATGTGCTGCAAACATGTACTAATTTTAAAAAGTAAACAAAAATAATTAAGATATGTTATGAACTAACTCCCCAGGATAAGTATAATCATGTACAGCAAACATGTACTACATAGACCCTGTCTCAAAAATAAAAACACATGTAGCTGGGTGTGGTGGCACATGCCTCTAATCCCAGCACTCAGGAGGCTGAGGCAGGAGGATCGCTGTGAGTTTGAGGCCAGCCTGGGCTACATATTGAGTTCCAGGTTAGTCTCAACCACGTAAGGAGACCGTGTCTCAAAAAAAGAAACCAAACAAATGTGTTAATAAAAATTTAAAGATTAAAATCTCTGAAATTAAAAGGGTACAAAATATACATTAAAAAGATAGACTAAGCGTGTTATGGTGACACATCTGTAATCACAATACTTGAGAAGCTGAGACAGAAGGATCCCTTCAAATTTGAGGCCAGCATGGGGTACACAGTTTAAACCCACTCTGAATTACATAATAAGACCCTGTCTCAAAAATCCAAAAGAACAGAAAATAGGCTACATACAAAGTAAAAACAAAAAGGTGGCCAATCTGGGAGGAGGAATTATGGTTTATTCTTTCTTTTCATTTTGTTCTTTTCCAATTTTTCTGTAATAAACATAGTTCTAGTAATTCTATAACAAAATGTTCTATAAGATAAAAGATCTTAACCTCAAGTAGAAGTTGCTGAACTTATATAATGCTCTTTCAAGATTAAAATGTGAATTTATACTTTTTATCCTTTTTAATAAAATTCTGACCAGGCATACAGGTGTACACCTGTAATCCCAGTACTTGAGAGGCTGAGGCAGAAGAATCGCTCCAAGTTTGAGGCCAACTTGGACTACATACTGAGTTCAAGATCAGCCTGAACTACATGGCGAGACCTCATCTCAATAAATAAATAAGTAAATAAGTAAATATAGTAATAATTCTGATCAGGAAAAAAATCAGGAAAGTATAAAAAGTGTTTATACAGTTTTTTGGTAAAATTATCTCAATACTTTTTTGGGTAATAGCATCACCAAATTCTAATCCTTGACTTTCTCCTTAATTTCCTATGCTTAGATATTTACTACTGATTTTTTTCTTCACAATTTCTTTCTTTTTTTTTTGTACCGGGGATCCAGCTCAACTCAGGTCCTTGTGTTTGTGAGGCAGGCTGCGCAACCACTGAGCTAAATCACCGGCCCTCTTCACAATTTCTTATACTCACATCTTCCTCTCTAACAACTTTACCAGCATCCGGGTCCTTATAATTAATTCTAGGACTATACAGTATGTTTTCCACTTCTTCAGTCTACCTCTCTAAATTGGTCAGCTTCATCTCTTGCCTGATTTTCTTTTGTGATCATAATAATCTACAGCAAGCGGGGAGAAACTGTTGGTCACAGGCCTCCAGTGGCTTCAGGAGACCACAGTGCTTCTTCCCCAGGATGAACAAGCACACATGCCAGTTCTGCAGAACCTCAGACCCTGTCCTCCACACCTGAGTGCATTCAGGGGCCCCTTGCTCCAGCTTAAACTCTGACCAGCTTTCTGGGTAGAAGCCCCGAGAAAGTGGCAAAGCTCATACAGCTTATCCATCCTGGTACATGAAGCCCGCACTCAATGACTCTTAACCTCACCACCACCTCAACACCCAGTGAGCACTTCTGCCTTGATGTCTCTGAAGTCAAGAAAGTTATCTGTGTCTTAAACTTCAGCTCTACCACCTCTGATCATTCCAATGCATCTTCCTCATGAATTCTAAAGTAAAAGTTCTCAATTATACTTTGGAAACTCTGTGGGATCCCTGAGACTTTCAGGAAGTCCATGAAGCCAAGATTATTTTCATAATACAAAGACCTGGGCTGGAATGATGTGACACACCTATAATCCCAGTACTCAGAAGTCTGAGAAGGGAGGAGCCTAGCAAGTTGGAGGCCAGTCTGGGCTATACAGGTTCAAGGCCAGCTCAAAATGCATTGTGAGATCCTGTCTCAAAAAAAAAAAAAAAAGCCAGGATTTAGCACCTGCCTCACAAGTACAAGGTCCTGAGTCCGCTCCCCAGAACAAAACAAAACAAAACAAAAAAAGTGTCAGGCATGGTGGCACACACCCGTAACCCTAGCAACTCAGGAGGCTGAGGCAGAAGGACTGCCACAAGTTTGAGGCCAGACTGGGTAACATAGCAAGTTCAAGGACAGCCTCAACTGGCTAGCAAGACTTTGTATCTAAATGAATGAAAGTTTTTATTCAAAATGTTACTAATATGTAATTGTGTTTAAAGCTGTAATTTTTGGTGCTGCAGACTGAACCCAGGGTTCTGTGCATGCTTTGTATGTGCTTTGTTTACCACTGACTTCTATCCCCAACCCTGTACTTTTCCCCCTCAGTATTACTGTCATTCACAGTTGGCTGGGGTGCAGCTCAGTGGCAGAGTGCTTGCTTACCATGTGCAAGGCCATGGCTTCCACCCCAGCACAGCACAGCACAGCACAGCACAGCACACACCAACCTGCCTGAAAAAGTGCAGCAGGACCCAGGGATCAGCAACACTTGCAAGCACTAGGCCCTTGGTTCAGTTTTCACGCCAAAAATTTAGAAGCACATCAGTGACATAATATTCTGTTGGTTCCAGCCAGCAAACACCTACGATAGGTTCTTAAGCCCTCCTGTAGAATATTTTCTAAAAAGAGCTTTCAACTATAAATATAGTTAATCTTCTGTACAACTGCAGATTGAACCAACTGCGGTGTGAAAATGTGAAAAACACACCTAGAGAGGACATACATGTTCATCATGCTCGACATTTTAAGTTTGTTTCTCAGCACCAAAAAGTTAGCATCATGGACCGAACGAGAAATACACAAGGGGAAGCTCATTTTTAGGGTTTCAGTTTTTAGAAACACTTCCTTATGGTTGCTTACATGTGACTGTTTAAATGATACTGAAAGGTGTTTTATAGTAAATTCCTGAGTAGTTCTTCATCGCCTCTCCACCACTGTCAGAATTACAGATGGCATCAAAATACGTCTGCAGTATTTCTCTTAGTCAAGATTTCTTGGCCAGGGATTTGGCTCAGTGGTTCCGCCAACTGCCTCAAAAGTGCAAGGGCCTGAGTTCTTTCCCCGGTAAAAAAAAAAAAAAAAAAATTTCTTTTACAAGTTTTTCACATCAATGAAAATACAAAACATGCAAAGGAAGAAAAAAACCGTAACTTCTCTAAGTATCTCTAGATCCTTGTTCCAAAGCCCCCAATTTTTAAAATATCAGGTCTCCTCTTGCCTCATGCTGGCCTCATGCTCATGCAATCTTCCTGCCTCAGCCTAACAAATTGCTGAGATTACTTTTTTCTTAAATTTGAATTCTGTCACCTCTGCAGACAATGACAAACCATTTCAGCATAAAATCCTTTTTTTCCATTATACAGATACTATAGCTTTTAAGTATCAGTATCACCAGTGAAACTACATTTAAACACAAAATACACTGCCTTCATTATAAATTCCAAAAAATAAAATGTAATTTTTGCTAAAAAACTTAAAAATATTCCACAAACTGTTAGAAATTCACGTGTCTTCTGTCACTCCAGATGGCACGTAAGGAACATTTATTAAGTGCTCTGTGCTTGCTACTGCCAGCCATGCAGAAACAACTCTCCAGCCTCACAAAAATCCCATTATTAGTAATACTAATGGAGCCAGGCATGGCGGCATGTGCCTGTAATTCCAGCAATCAAAAGGCTGAGGAAGAAAGACTGTGAGTTCAAAATTACCCTGTACTACACAGTGGGTTCAAAGCCAGCCTGGACTAAACAACACCCACCTCCCAAAACAACATCACCAACAACAAAAACTCAGAACGTGAGAAAGCAGCATTTGCTGTACGTGCTTTTCCAACCTTCTAAAAACGTTTTCCTGCTCTATCTTTATTCCAAAGGTTTTAACTGTAATGAGAAAACAGCCCAAATATCCTGTATGAATCTGGAAAAAACCCTAAGAAACCTGAATGAGATGTTATTAAAGAACTCTAAGGGTCGGGAGAATAACTCTGTGGCAGAGCCTTGCCCAGCACACACAGGCCCTACCCTGAATTCACAGCATGACCCCCCTCCAAAAAATGGAACTGTAAAAAAGTCCTTTACTTCATCCCAAAGCTGCTTCAGACTGAAATAATGTAGACATGGCTATAAAATTCTTCAGTAAGACTCCAAACTTGTCAACAGCTACCAACCAAGACAGTAGAGGGATACAAAGAAATCATTTTAGTTCACTATTGAAAAAATAAAAGAACAAAGGAGACGCGTACCACTCAGGAAAGGCAGTTAGTGATCCTACGCCTTCTGAGGCAAGGGCGCATCCACAGAGAAGCATTTTTAAGAAACTGCGGAGATGAATTGTGGACAACTGCACAGGACATTTAAAACGTAAGGTGGAAGAGAAGTAAAAGATGACAGTATCGCAAACTGGGCCAAGGAAAAGGATCTAAATCCAGACTTTCAAAAAGGAAAATGGGCTGGCACAGAAAATTATGCATGTGGTTTCTGCACTAGATTTTAGACGTGGGTATGTGAGTGGGACTGACTAGAAATACAGGACTAGGGCTCCTGGGAAAGATCTGGCCAAGAAAGAACACTGGAAATGACCAAGTTGAGATTATTGTAGGGCATATACTAGTTTGGGTCAAAGAAGCACCTTAATTACTAAAAATATACAAAATAAAAGAAGCTTAGTACCTGGTTAAAACATTAATTTCAAGTAAAACAGTTTCTTACCTGCTATTTTCCACAGCCTTCATGGCATATTCAACTTGAAAAACTCTTCCATCGGGAGAGAATGTGGAGGCTGACAGGTCATACTATTACGAAAGGGGCAAGAACAAGCTTACAATGTGTCTTTGATGGTAACAAGCATACACACCGCTTTATGCTGTAAACGCTCTAAGCATCAGAGATAGGTTCTAGTCTAAGGACAAATGCTTTGAAGAGGAAGCATGTCAGAGCCTCAAAGGTGGCTGAGCAAAGTCACACCGTTCAGATTTCTGACACCGCAAAGTAACAGACCCAAATCATAGATCAAAAACTCATTCATATAGGATGCAAAACCATTTTCCCCCCTTTCTTTTGAGAGGGCCTCACCATATTGTCCAAGCTGGCTTTGAACGAACCATCTTCTCACCTCACCCTGTGCTGAGATGACATGCGCGTGCCAGCACACCCAAATGCCAGACTTTCCTTTTCCTGGTACAGGGGATCAAACTCAGGATCTTGCTCTTGCCAGGCAGGTGTGGCGACACTGAGCTATATCCCCTGCTTTAAAAAAGTTAAAGGGCCAGGGATGTAGCTCAGTGGCACCTACCTGCCTGGCAAGTGCAAGGTCCTGAGTTCAATTCCCAGCACCACAGGAAAGAAACAGTACAAACAAACTAAACTAAAAGGAGGTGGTGGTGGTGGGCAGAGATGGAGCTCAGTGGTGCTGTGCCTGCTGCTAAGTGCAAAATCCTGAGTTCCATCCCTGTCATGGGGGGGGGGGTTAAAATGAAGATGGAATGGGAAAAATAAAAGCCAAAACTTATTTTGTGTTTTTGTTTTGTTTTTGTTTTTTTTTTGCAGTGCTGAAGACCAAACAGGGCCTGGCACATACTAGACGTCTGCTATACCACAGAGCCACATCCCCAGCCCATTCAGAACATTTAAATTTGTAGCTGTGCCGCTAACTGAAGGATGTTGACCAAAGCATTAACATTCGCTTATTTTTTTTTAACATTCACTTATTTTTTAAGTAAGTACCTATTATGCCAGGCATGATGGTGCACACCTGCAATCCCAGTACTCAGAGGAGGCTAAGGCAGGAGGATCATTGCAAGTTGTAAGCCAGCCCGGTCTAATAGTTCAAGGTCAGTTTGAACTGCACAGACTCTCTGTCCCCCACAAAAGGACCTACTATATATGTTACTAAATGAGAATAAAAAGATAATTACTCGTTCATTAAATACTTTTTAGCAAAACATTCACCACAGAATTTGTACCCGTACATGACATTATCTTGCTTCTATTTTTCCTATTCCCCTCCTTTCAACCCCCTTCCCACTTTTATTTACAAAGCATTACAAATGAAATACTTCATTTTAAATAGTTTAAAAAATGTTAAGAGTAGGAAAAATTTATTGAGGGAAAGAAAGCTTCTAAGAGAGACAGAAGAATGGAAAGTGGGTTGCCCACTCACCCAACTTCTCAAAGATGTTTTTATACAGCCATGCCATGTGGTGAGGCGGGTACAAAGTAGGACAAAACTATAAGACCCAATGGAAAACTACAAGGTGGGCATGAGGTGGGGCAAGACCATGACCAACCAGCAGGATTACAAGTACAGTCACCCAGGTAATACTGATTAGATGGCGGTCAAAAGGGGGAGCAAGTCACACAGCAAGGGTACAAGGATTTTCAGTAAGGGTGGGGGTCAAGGATGTTTCCTGGAAAGGCTAAGACCTTGCCCCCACCACCCAGGTGATTGATACCTATTTAGATAGAATATCAATCACTGCAGAAATACTTCATTTTTAATCTAATCAGACACAGATCGAGGTGTAAATACAGAACTAAAACAAAAGATAATGAAAATACAATGGGTCAGGCACGCGGTGGCGCACACGTGTGATCCCAGCACACTGCCTGAGGCAGGAGGATCACCAGAAGTTCCAGCCTAAATTCAAGGCTGGCCTAAGGTACACAGCTAGATCCTGTCCCCAAAAACAAAACCCCCAAATAAATAAAACAGTAAAATGATAAAACTACTACAGAGCGCTTCATCAAAGAAAGCCCTATTAAGGCAGTTCTACCTGAGTCTATTTCAGGCAGAACTTAGTGGCAAGGAACCATCCATTCAAGATAGGAATGCGTCTTCCTGGCATTTGACACAGACCTTACTGTTGCAACTAGCACAGCTCTAACAAGCCACAGAAATAAGGTGGCCACCTACCTAAATTCTGAGCACGGTGAGTGCAGAACAGAGTGTACCAAGCCAGCAAGGGATAGCAGAGCAGAACTCTGGCAGGCCTTTCAGGCTGCAGTGGGTGTAAATGGATGGTGAGGAGCAGTGCTTTATTCTAAATGCAATGAGTTTAAGCAGGGAGGCAACGTGATCTAAATGTTCAAAGCATCACTCTAGCTTCACATGGAAAATGAGTTGCAGAGCCAACAAGAGTGAACTCACTGACCAGGTACTCCAAAGACTCGGGAGGAAAGAAAGACTTCACAAACGCAATACGCTGAACTAAGAAGTAAGCCTAACAGGTTAAGAAGTACAACTCCAGCACCCTCATTTGTCTCACTGAATGTCAGAAGCAGTGAAGTGCCTGGGTAATCACTTACACGTCTGCAGCCCAGCGCCTGAGACTGTAAGGTAATCTGTACAGGAAAAGCTGAAAGGAAGCATCAGCCCCAGCGTTTCAGATGGGAGAGGCCCTCGCCCCGCGGGGCAGGCCTGTGAGTCAGCAGCGCCCCGTCGCCCGCGAAAGCGGCCGTGGTTTCGGACGCGGAACCCAAGCTTCGGTGCCTCCAGGGGCAAGGGCGAAGGACCGAACCCCTTCCTAAAGCTCGTCAAGCCCCTCGGGTTTCCACTTTCGATTTCCCCTCGCAGCTGAAAACGTGACACAGCAAACCCAGGCGGCGGCGGCCTCGCGGTC